TTCAGTGCACAGGCTGGATGGTGCTCACTGAATGAGATGACTATTCAATATTTCTTTTCATCCTCATCTTTCTATGTGCAGCCCATTGCCTTATTGGCCGCATTACTCACAAATGCCCAAGGCAGGAGGAAGGAACTATGCAGGCCATCCCAAACAAGTGCCACTAAATATGAAGCTGCACAGTGTTTTCAGTTATTAGAAGCAATCCCAGGGAGATGGGTAAGTGGGCAAATGGCAGGGGATGCTGTCAAAAGCACATGCTTATTCAATGGCTCTGCAGTTTAGCACATGGACATCAAAACCAGTATATATTTTCTATATATACACAAGAAAACTAAGTTAAAAGACTGTTAGGGCTACAAAGTGAAGCATCCCAAAAGTCAGGAAATTCCAAAGTTAAGGCTGCCTGTACAACCTTAACTTTGCCCCCTGTGTGTATACATTATGACTGGCCTTTAACTGCATAATCATACTGTATTTTTTCTAGAGCAACCCTGCCTCATTCAGAGTGAAAGTTGAACAATGATTGAGGCAGCAGTTTAATACTCATTTTTGCCCACAGTGTTCAATGTGAGCTCTGTTTCATTCACTACACATTCTGCAGTGGTCTGGAGCACCCCGACTCATGCAGTAAAAAAAGCTTCTCATTCAGCATCTAGTCTGCTCACTGAAGGAGAAATTCATCCCTGCACAGAGGAGCAGCACAAGGCCTATGCACCATTTATGCCCTACCTTGTGCTGGCCCATTGAACAGCAATGAATTCACCCTGAATGAGGCAGGAGCCCTGTGGAAAATACAGTATTTCATCATGTAAGTGATGCCTATAGAGGGAGATACAGTCCTCATGAGTGATTATCTCTAATGGAAGGGGCAGGTGTCACAGTCCAGAACACTACATGCACCTACTTGACTCTACACAAGAAATCAAATAAAACTGAGAAACTGAAATATCAAAATACAGTATAGATTTACCAGAGATGCATGAAGGCAAATCCATGTGCCCATTAACACACTTCCTGACTGAAGGGGTTGTGAGGGTATATCCTTCACTGCACATAAATTCCAGTGTGTGGTCACTCTGAATCAACTGTGCATGTCTTCGGCCATTGGACAGAAGCAGATTTTTGATCTCCAGTTGCTGTTTTGTGAGGCTACATGGTGCTAAAGAAAAACCAGAAAAAAATGAAAATGATAGGAATGTATCCTTGTCCAAATCTAGTAGCCCAAAATCCCATATAAAATTAATTATTCACCCAATAAGACAGAAATCATAATCTTAATTTATTACAAATGCCAAGGAAATAAGCCTTAAAACAGAATAATCCCTAAAGAGGATAAACTGATGATGTATGTTTATTGGCCAAAGTCTATTCTTTCTGCAAATGGCAAGCAAGGGCCTGCTCCTGCAAACTGGACGCATGCACGAGATCCCACTGAGACCAATGAGACTACTTACATTCGAAGCACTTTTGTGAATAAGAATTGCAGAAGTGCATCTAGGGCCTGCTCTTGTTGCTGGTGAAGTCACTGGGAACAAGATTGGTATAGACTTTGTAAGCAAGCCCATTTGTTCCTCCATACTGTAGCTGATATTTCTTGATGGAAAGGCCTCAGCCCTCCCCTTCCTACACTACTAAAAGGTACATCAATCATTTGAAATGAAAAGAGGCACTAAAAAGTTGTCAAATAGAAACAGAAGTTCTAAAATCCTACATCATGAACACAATTTACATGCAGACTTAGACATGAAAAGGACAGGGTAAAAGGAACAGTAATAAATCAATAAAATTAATTCCTGCTATACTTACCTGCCAGGACTGAAGTTTAGGGTTCAGTAATTTCCCCTCACAGATGATAACATCACAAACACCTAATATAGGTGTTTTAGGTGTTAATAGTGTCAAGAGATGGCAACAGTTATAGGAGAAGACACACACATGACTGAATTCAGGTCTTTGCAACTAAACAAGCATTTCATCTCATCAACTAAATTCAAAGGGTTGTCAAAATAGCAGTAGGCTGAGCTCCAAAATCCCCAGTGCTGCATTAAGAATAAATGATTTCTCATTAGAATGACTCTCTTACATTTTCAAACCTCACTTCAGTACGAATGAACACAGACATCGGCTCGTGCCAGAGTACGTGTGTTAAATCAAATCACTCACCTGCACACAGTTTCTACATAGTCAGGAGACAATCAAAGCCATATTAGGCCGTGTACAGCATTTGGGTGGTCAAACACACGTGACACAATAGCTTACATGGGTCTCTAAGCACTATGGGCAGATTTATGCAATAACCCATATACACATCCGTCCAGTTTGTATATAACTTTGTCTAAGTCAAGTAGCTAGGACTGCAATTATCCGAGGTCCTAACAAGCAGTATAATCTTACGGTATCCCCTAAAAAGATGAGAAGCCCCTGTACAATACCAAGTAGTTCTAGGATACTTTGCTTTTAATAAGACTCCCTCTTATATAGTGTAAGTAAAAACAGGGCCGGCTCTGGCTTTTTTGCCGCCCAAAGCAAAAAACGCCCGGCCGGCCGGAGCAGCAAGGGGGCGGGGAGGGGAGGAGGAAAACAAACCTGCCCCCGGCCGGAGTGGCGAAGGGGGAGGGGAGGGAACAAACCGGCCCCCGGCCGGAGCGGCGGGCGGGGGGACGACCAACTGGCCCGCCTGCCGGAGCGGCGAAGGAAAGAAAAAATAAAAACAAACAAAAAATGCCTGCGAGGCGGTGGGAGTGTGGGTGCAGGGGGACTCCCGGCCCTGCAGACCCTGGGCAGCGGAGTGCGCACCCCGGCTAGCGGGGGGGGGGGGGAGAGAGAAGGGGGGCGGCCAGGGCTTCCTTAAGCGGGGCGCTTGCCACGCGGCCCCTCCCGCTGCGCTGCCTGCTGGGAGGGCTCCGCGCCCCGCCGTTTGGCAGGCAGGGAAGGACGCGGGCTGCCCTACCAGGCTTGCTGCAGGGCGCTCCCCTCCTCCGCCCCCTACAGGGCGGTGGGAGCAGTAAACCAAAAAGAAAAAACCTGCAGGGGCGGCCAAAGCGGTGAAGCGCAAAACAAAACAAAACAAAACAAAACAAAACAAAACAAAAAAGGATTAGATGGAATGCTGCCCTTTGAAATCTGCCGCCCCAAGCACGAGCTTGCTCGGCTGGTGCCTGGAGCCGGCCCTGAGTAAAAATATCACATACGTTCAGTGTCCTGAACGTTACCCTGCTAGTTTAGTAGTGTATCAGCTAATTTGTTTAGTAAACTACATTAAAAGAAAATCAACCCACAGCCTGTCTCTAATAACAAAAACTAATATAGAATTAATGGACTTTCTTATAGAATTTTGGAATTTTAATCGCTTCCATGCCTATTACAATATTTGGTTGGACCTTTGCAGGTATGTTGAATATCTCACTTCTTTACACACCATAGCTATAGTATGTATATAGTACTCATCCCCAGGTTTATCTAGGCATATCCAGTTAGCACATCCCCCTCACTCAATGGCTTTTTCCCTGCTTTCAGGGGAGGACTTTTAGCGGTGAAGCAGGCCATGATAAATGGAGAGATGCAGCCCTCTGGACCCTTCTCCAAGGTACAGCCTTGGGGGCCCATCAACTCCTATGAGACCACTGAAATGAGGATCTTGATAAATATTATTTGCCAATTTCTCCTAATGCTGCAGCTCTCTTCTCTTTCTTATGATAATACAATGGTGTTTCATCCCATATTCTTTGTTATGGATATTTTTACACCATGCCTCCAGTATTCAGGTCCTGTGTCATTGCTCGCATTTAGGGTTATTAACAACAAAAATTGTGGAATTTGATAAAATGGAGAAAATTCTCTCTCTTCTGTAATATAAATAAATAGATGTAATATAAATTGTAATATAAATTTAGACGTTCTGTTGTCTTATTATAAAAGAGACCCACCTAATTCAAATTTCATATTTGAAACTATTTGGTGATCTGCAAAGATCTCATTAATACAAACTCCTAGGGACCAGATATGGCTTGAGCCATAAACCAGATAGTTGGATCCAAGGATCAAGTGTGGTCCATCGGAAACATGAATCTGCTCTGAATTCTGACACCACTTCCCCTGCCCCCATAGTTGAGGAGCGTTTGAATTCATGGGTTTGATTTGGGTCCATCTCTACTAAAGAACCAACCCGTGGGAAAGAGCAAAGAAGCAGTTCCCCTTACCCAAACACTGTGGTGCAGGTGTCCAGGTTTTCCCACTGCACGTGATCCATTCAGGTCCTATCGGGGTGTATCCAGGATTGCACTTGTACTGCACTTTGTCACCTTCTCTATACTCCGATTTGTCATCACTAACAATCCCCCCAAAATCTATGGCAGGCGGCTCTTCACATGCTGGAGCTGCAATAGATGCACAAACATTATTGTTGTTGTTTGATGTAGGGAAATGTTCTAAGATCATTTGGCTTACTAATGAACACCTTACTGGTGGCTTTTCACAATTCATTCATTTTAATCATTTATAATTCATCTATCAACATGGTGCCTGGGAACATTACTGCACAACTCTCAGTCACTGCAATAACCTGACAGTAAAGGGAGAAAAGACGAGGAGAGAGATGCTTTACATTAGACTAAGGTTTGGCTGCACTGATGAGCCTTGCACCATGCACTGAAGATCAGCAACACAGAACTGACTCATCATAACAGGGAGCAAGCACCACAGTTGTGTACCCTCCACATGCAAGAATATCCTGCCTCCAGTCCCCAAGAGTGCACTTCAAGGGACTGTCTGCAGCTGTGCCTTGGCTGATCTGAACTGTCACAATGTGTCACACCATGTACAGTTTTATAGACTAAAACCAACATGTGGAACTGCTCACTATACAGCAAAAATATATATAGCAGAAAGAGGAGGTCTAGAGACAGGCAACTATGATGAGGAGCATGGAAAGAGCCAGAAAACTGAGACAATGAAGAATTTATTAATACGCTGCATGGTCCTGCTCCAAAAACCATCTTTGTTCAGATCCACAACAGTACTCTCTGAAATGGGTAAAAGCCCCTTTGCAATTCTTTCACAAACATCCTTGTAATTTAGGAGAAAAAAATGGATTGTGGATTACGAATTTAACCAATGGAGTTAATGTCGGGTTACAGTCAAAAGTAGATGAGCAGAAGATGAATTGGGCCTCATATGTATAACAGGGCTGGGGTGGAAAGCAGCATACAACAATAAATATGGAGGTCTCACTGCATTATATAATGTGGGCTCCAATATTGACCCGTCTTTTATCCCACATGATGGTCTGGTCCTTGTTTACCAACTAAATTGATACAGGCTGTCCTTTCTTCTGTAGGGTGGATTACACAATGCCTTGAAGATGGATGGGCTCCTTTACCAAAGTGTTTCCATGAGTAATTTAATGGTTGAAAAACTCTCTACCTTTGTCACATTGGTCCTTTCTTCCTGGCCATCAGATGAGCATTGTGCTCATGTATGGGGCAAAGTTTGGAGTTCATATGGGGAAATTTACAAGACTGAGGGATCCTAGGATTATGTCTGGATCTTTTTTTGTTTCTTCTTACTTTGACGAGTCACAATCTATTGTTTGAGAAGGTGTCAGTATCATAAATAAAAGAACTTACTGCCAGTGTCTGATTGTATTTAAATCATAAGGACATACATTTTATGTAAAGCACTAGAGCAGAAAGGTTTCAGAACTCTTTCTACTGACTGTTGTTGCCTTAGGTATCTTGGGTTTCTTCTTGTGGTCCCTTTTCTCCACCCTACAGAAGAAAGGCAGGTACATTCAAATAATAAACTACTAAAGCTGAGGGGAGAACTGACCAGTGAGTATTCAGAACTTATGAAATTGATTTTTTCTTGCATGTACCTTGTAATATTATACATTTTAAACTTTTTTTTTAAATGAGACCCTGTGGCTACCGACATCTAGAAGATGGAGCATTAACTGTCTATTATGAATACTACAAAGAATGAGCCTTTCCAGCATGGTTAGGTGTGTCAATTTACTACAGATGGTTACATATCTAAAAGCAAGGACAGGTGGAATCTAATCAACTGTGCTAAAGAGGGCTGGGATCCAAAGCCAAAATGCCTTAAAGTAAATGTATATTTGCCTTAATTTCTTTAATGTCTTTGTGTACTATATATACTAATAATTACATAAAGCAGCAGCAGCATTGGCAGGAACAAGGACTGGGGTGGGCCGTGGGGGGGGCAGGGTGTACAACACTGCTCTATTCTGGTACCTACATCTCCCTGCCAAAATTGTCATCCAGGGGCATGAGCGTCTCTTTAAAAAGACTCCTCCTCATATCTGGCAGCAGCAGCATTAGAAGGAGCCAGGCCTGGGGACAGATCTTACGTAGACAGGTTGAGGGATTTGGAGAGGGGTTGGTTTTTTCTCTCCTTTTCCTTCCTTTCCAGTGCTGGACTCTCAACCAGCATTTCCATCCCTGAAGCAAAGGGATGGGGTTGAGTTTGGACTTGGTAGGTTTAGAATGATCAATTATAACCTGTGTGGGTAGAGACCTATGGGAAGGGGTATGGTAGGCTGAGAAATCTTCTGAACAGGAGTAGAGGCTCTTTAGTGCTTGGGGATATTCAGTTGTAAGGGTGGAAAAGAAAGTCTCTCAGAAAGGTGAAATGACTTCCAAAGTTCACACAACAAGTCAGTGGCAGAGTCGGGAGTAAAACCCAGGTCTCCTGATTCCCATGCCTGTGTCCTATCCACTAGACCAGTGTTTCTCAGCCAGAGTGTTGTGACCTCCAAGAGTCTCCAGCCCTGTTTCTACCACCACTCATCACAGCCTGATCCCAGACCCAGGCCAGTTCTTGCTCCCCTTCTGCAGCCTTGCACCTCAGCTGCAGACCCCAGTCACCTCAGTATATGTCCTAATTCTAGGTCTGAGTCCAGTCCCAAGTCAGCCCTTCTCCTGGGATACCGTCATGCCAAATCTACACTAGCTCTTCCACTGTTAATCACTGAGGGCACAAATCACCTCCTTTGAGAGTGCCGAAAGTCTGCAGGAAGACTGGTCCTGCTTTCATCCATGAGACTTTACCAGGTCCACCAGCCACCAAAATGTATCTCCACACTGGAGCTGGGAGCTGCACTGAGCACACATCCTCTCTCCCTCTTCCTGGTCTGCTCCAGACTCCCCTAATTCAACGCCCCACCCCGCTGCCTCCCCACACTCTTAGCAGTTTGGAATGCAGTTCAATGCTGTAGTAGTTAGCATTTATCATTTTAAGAGATTTGCACTTACAGCTTTGTGCCCTCAGTGATTAACAGTTTAACCAGTGAGCGCTTAATCATTTAGGGTGGCTTGGCTAATGGTTACACAGACAATCATAACTTTTTAGTTTCAAAACTAAAATTCTAATTGCTTATATTAGGCATGGGGCTGTGCAATAACTGGCACTGTACAGATTTTTGAGCATATGAACTATTCTGTCTTACAGCTAGAAATGGCAGAAATATCATGTGGTTTTTCTTACTTTTGCTTTTAGAAAAAGACTCATTTTTTGAGGCCTGGATGTTTGAAAAGTTTTTATTCTACATTTGAAAAACTACCTGAAAATCTCCCTTAGATTAATTATAAAGTTGCTGTCAGGAATAACTACTGCTCATGGAAATGTAGAAGAGAGGAGTGGGTCAAATTGGATTATAATTGGATTCTGTGTGAATGAAGTAGTGTTGTGAGCATGCACAGTACTTTACAGAGCTCAAACAAGGACCAGGTCCCTTCTCCAAAGAGCTTACAGTCAATCACAGACCATCACAATGCACAGGATAGCAGTTCTGGTACCAGGACAGTAGGCTCAGACACATTGGTGGTTAAAATGATGTAGAAAGTGACAATGGAAGAGGTGAATTCTAAGGAGGGGGTCTGAAGTAGAGGATCCTTTTTGCACAGAGTGGGAGTGTCTTGATAGGAGGCGCAAAGCCACAAGAAGCTCACACTTCAATCACAATATAATTGCAATCACACCTTCCTGACACTCATGACTCATGCAGGTGGGTGAGAAAGGGTTAAAAATATTCAGGGGGTCAGAATTTTGGTCTTCAGCCTCATTCTTTGGTCACAGGCTCTAAGGGGCATGGTGGGCTGTGGAGTCAGCATGCTTAGCTCTTGGTTAGGATCTTGGCAGGAGGGAGCAACTTGTGTTTCTCTGTAGCAAATCTTCAGACTCTGAGTCAGTCAGTGATAAGTGGGTGAATAATGACTTAGCATGAAGCCTTCGGGGCTTGGGATGAAATCCTGGTGCCATGGAAGTCAATGGCAAAACTCCTATTGACTTCTGTGGGGCCAGGTTTTCACCCTTGGGTAGCAGCTGATGAGTTGGGAATGGAATTGCTTCAAGAGCAGTCAGAGGATACTTTAAAGAAAAAAATGCCCAATTGCTAGAAAAGATGCCCAGTTGCTAGATGATCTTAATCTTTTTGTCTTTAGGAAAGTGTTCTGTCAGGCATATGGAAGATGGTAAATTTATATGTAACTATGGGAAAACCTACCAAGAAGTTGATGAAATTTCATGTGTTTGCGCTCATAAATATAGTCCTGAAAATCTGCACACCAAAGTTATATGCACAAATAATAACTGGCCACCTTCTCCAAGATGCACCCATAACAGTATGCAGCATTTATGTTCTGTTGTGTTTCTGTTTAAAACTCTAGACGTTACTATCTTGGTCTGCCTAATATAAACACAAAAATACCAGTTCTAGCAGGTGACGTGTCATGGCAATGTACATTTCTGACGTGAGCAACTCTGTGATCATATTGCTGTGATATTCGCCCTTCCTCACTCAGTCCGTCCCTGCTGTTTGTCACCCCCACTGGTTGTGTCATATCTAGTAGTTAGATTGTAAACTCCTTGGAACAGGTACCAGGTATTTCCTCATCTTCTGTGAAGAGCTGATTGTACTTTTGGGCGCAATAAATAACAGTAATAATGCTCATCCTGCACCTGTTTCTCCTTATCCCCACTCCACAGCCTGTCTCTGCTCCCTGTGCTCCTCACCCCACTGAAGTTCAGTCAAGCTACTTCCTCCTCCTCCTCCAGGCTGACTGGGAACCAGTAGTGTGAACAATGAGAGTGCAGGAGAGAGTCTCCCTGCTCTCAGTTTTGGCTCCTGGCACCACAGTGGCCCTTAAAAGTCGGGAGGAGCAATTAGCAGGAAAGTCCTGCACAACACCTGCAGCCCTGGAGCATGCGCGGTGCAGACAGAATCTTGAGACAATTTCTCTGTCAAACTCTAACAAGTCCCCACTGGGCAAACTGAGATTTTCCTGTGCTTATAACTTGGCCAGATTTGGGGAGTACAGAAAAAGTCACATCCCTGACACCAGGTGGAAACCCCAGCCAGATTTCAATTTCCTACTCCAAAGAACGTGGGTGCTAGAGCTCCTTAACAAAACACTTGTAAGAATATGTCAACACACGCAAAACAAAATATTCTTTCCTCATTTCATTGTTATAAATGGCTGAAATATCTATTTTAACAGAAACTTTCCAAACAAAATTCAAACTGAGGAAGACACTCAGCATAGCCAATTTCAGCCACAATGATTAAAGTTTAACAAAGTTATAAGTAACTGAAAACTAGGTCTTATAATGGAAAGTGTTGGGCATCCTATTAACAGCCATCACTACTTGAGCCATCTATAATCCAGCCAAATTGTGACATTTAGCGACTAGCCTGTGTCCAGGACATATACAATCTGATGGTCTGAGTTATTTTATTTCTCACCCCCCATAAACTTTTCCTACCAGTCAGGAAGTGATAGCTTTACAAATTATTGCATAACAGCAATTGGAAGGCGGAGCCATCATTTCAACACATTTCACAACACCCAGAGGAACATGCTACAACCATCCAAACAGATAGTATAAGGCACACACTTCCCCTGTCTGATAGGATGCTATAGCAGGCTTCTTGTGGCACATCTTGAAATAGGTAACCAGCCATTTTTTGTGCATTCTGCTGTCTTTTCCCTGTTGTCCGAATCAAAGTGAAATCTACAATTACAGTCTACTCTGATTGTATCCTCTTTTCTGAACACTCTTTTGAGGGCGGTAGTTTCCATTATTCACTGCTGGAGGATCACATGCAATTACTAAACAGAAAGACAAAGAAGTTTAACTGGAAACAGGACATTAGGCTGTAAATTCCCTTCAATTAACATTATTTATATCCATCTTTTTTCCCCCCTAACTCCAAGGATTGCATTATAGAAGCACTTTCTGCATAATATTGTCAAAGTGAGATCCCTGTGGACTTGATGAAGTCTATAGCTCTTCTCCTATCTTTGCTGCTGGGAGGATCTGCTTAAGGTAATTTTATTTTATTTTTTAAGTGGGGAGCAGGTAGTTGTTGTTATAAGTGTCACTCTGATTAGGATGGAAAAGCTTTATAAAAAAAGGAGAGTCTTGCAGTGAGACCAAAAGTTGGACAGATATGATTTGTCTAATCTCTTCTGGAAGTTCATCCCACAGCTGGAACCCTTTCACCAAAAGTGCCTTATATCCCGCTCACACACACTCCTAGGCTGGTGATGGCATTGTCCCAGAAGAGTGCAACAGTCTTGCCATGTCATAAATGCAGATGTGATTTCCAATGTAGTTGGGACCTGATCTATTGGCTTTGTGATCAAGATCAGGAGACCACCCACAATATATGGGTTCCGGGGGCAGAACCCTCCCTGCTAATTCCAGGTGGAAGGTCTACCCCTTCCTCTAAACAGATAAGCTGGTTTAATTGTGAGTAGACCCTGGCAGGATTAACCCAGAGGTCAGAAATGCTGAACATAATCCTTAGTATTCAAATAAACCAAGAATCTTACAAACAAGACTCCTTCGCTGCACAACCCTGATTTATCCCCTTTAATAATTAGGTTTCAGATGGATCCTCCTTTCCTGCCACTAAACATAAATAGCCCTTATCTACTCAGGAACCCCACAGTGTCCTGGAAAGTCATCACTCCAAGACATATTTTACTATATGACATCGTAGGAATGGACAAAGCAGGTCTGGTGTCAGAAATCAAAATGCCCATCACTCTATACGCATATGTAAGGTTCCTGTCTCCATGGTATCTATAAATCAGGCCCACATGCCAGAGTGTTTTCTTCCATCCATATAACACTGAATCTGGGAGTGGCACAAAACACAATTTCTAAACAAACCAGAACGCAACGAATATCATTACAATTCACATAGTGTGGCATAAATAATAGATATATGAATACATGAGTGAATCTCATCAGCTGTTCTGATAACAGAAGTAACACATACAGATGTACTCAGCTTTTGCACTCTGAATGCTGCTATATTTTGGGGGATGCACTCAGCTCTGTTTTAACAGGCAGTAGCTCTGACATGTGGAAATATTCTCTAGAACTACCCAAAAATGAGACTCAATAACACACCTTCTGCCTTCAAAGATTTTCATTCATTCTGTTGTTAATGGCTTTCTCCTGTTTACTGAATATTCGATTGTTTTGTCCTTGTAAAGCGGGGTTGGGGATGTCTCCACTATCAAATGATGTGAGCTGAAGTTGTATATTTGAGAGTTCACTGGAACAGCACTTGACTGTGTGCAGCATTGAGCGTATTTAATATCACCCCACACCAGGGAAGAGTTAAGCTAAAGTGTTGTTGAATATTTGGTTCCTTTTGCATCTTACCTTGTCCCTTAGCAGAGAAAGCCCAGAGTATCTGAATGATGATACAGCTCAGCAAAGTCATTCTGAGGGTTGACCAATTAAATCCAGTACTTGCAATGGCTGATGTTGAGCTCTGTGCTTCTCTACATTCTGTCCTCAGCAACTGCTTTTGAAACTGATCATGCTTTCTACTCCCACTCAATACCTCTCTCTATCACCTCTCTTTCAACATCAAGATACCAGAGATAACATATGTAAACTCCACTGGGAATACTGTCCAACTTGTTTTTTTTCATTCCCCTTTTTGATTACATGGAATTTCTCCCCTCACAGTATGATGTGGAAGATACCTTGTGTTTGTCTCAGCAGAAGTATCAACTACTCAGTGTTCAGACACATCCCTCATGTATCAATATCAGATAAACACAGGTTGCTTAAAATACATTTTTGGTCTTCAGAAAGCTTCATTATGCAAAATGAGCAATTAATTCTTTACCACCAGGGTTTAAATACTACAATCTGTTCACCAAAGGGTTCATGCAGAGTTTCTGTGGGTCTGAAGAGACCTGGCATTTTGAAAGGCTGGAAAGGGAGTTCATGACTTATTCAATTGTTAAATGAGGGATTTCCTGGCTTTGGGAAGATTGAGAACCACATGTACAAGAAGTGTTTGGTGGAATTTTCAAAAATTCCCATTTAGAAAAATAATTGATGTAACTACCAGTTTTTATAAACCATCTTTCTTCTTTCTTCAGAACCATTCACTACATACAATCGATAGACTGATATTCCAACATGCCTGACTATTCCATTTGGCACAAGCATTTCAAATAAATGTGGCATAGTGAAAGACTTTGGTTGCTGAAGTTGCTCCAAACTAAAAACATTTCATTTGACTTGAAATGCCCTTTTTGTTAATGTTTCCAATTTGCTGAAGTTTTTCAAAATTCTTGGATTCCATTTGCCCTTACTGAAATGTTTTTTTCCAGTTTTTCTGAACTCCCAGCCAACCAAACAAATCAGTTCTTCACCCAGCTCCAATTCGATCATGTCGGACTATTTCATCTGGCACATGCATTTCAAAAAAGCAGTGTGAATCTCTGAAAGATTTCAGTCTGCAATGTAAGAAACCTTGATACTCACCCCAGCGCTGCCAGATTTGACCTTTGTTTAAACTCCCACTTACTTTACCTGCAAACAAGGAGAAGAGCAGCAGAGATGCACAGCAATATAAACAGGTATAGTACAAGAGGAGACAAACACATAGGTCACTCCGACAAATGCCTCTTCCACAAGGCAACAGGGGGATTTTTTGGAGTGGGCACTCACTCAGGACTAGCCCAACCATGCACTGTTCAGCAAAGAGACATCTATGGCCAGTCTGAGCATTGTACTGTCAGGCCAAAAACCACTTACTCCAGAGCACTGAACTAAATAGCTAATGTTTTGATTAATGCATTTTCAGAGACAGGTGCAGTAAACAAGTTGAGTACTGGGGGAGTTCATTGGTCCCTCCCCATCATTTGTTCTGAACCAGTGCACATAAAAGCAATATAAGAACCTGCCATTTTAGAAAGCAGAGTCTTTTTCTGAGGGGGTTAATGTATCTTGGAAATCCTTGAATGAATTTACTCCAAATTTGCACCATATGCTCTAGTCCTACACCTGAAATGTTACAGCAATTTTCAAGGCAAACTCCCTATGCCTGTTGATTTTAGAGAACTTTGAAAAATTGCCCATAAAGAGATTCAAGCTTAGATAGGAGCTGCCCTATAACCAATGTTCAGAAGCCACAGATGTTCTGTTTTACTAAACAGCCAAAAACACAAGCTGGTCGGAACTTTTTGGTGGTTACCCTCAATGTTGCAAACACCCTCGCTTCTTCTCTAATACCTTCCCTAGGATCTCCTGGATCCCAAAATATATTTCCTGTCTCTCTTGCTTTATGACAGACCCCCTTCTCTTGCACATACATCAGTTTTTGATTAACAATTTGCTGGGTTCCTCTCTCTGAAGGTGGCAGGATTTTCAGGATACACTTGTATGGGCCCCAGCGCTTTCCCCTCTTCAAAAGGTAGCAGAATGAGGTATAGCTGGGCTGGCAGGTGCAGGAGACAGAACAGTGATGGTATATCTATAGTAGAGTTTTACCTTGAATTAATTGATTACCAATTAACTAAAGTTAGTAAAAGTCTGTAAAAGCTAGTCTGAACTCTCCTCAAACATTTGTCCCAGAATACTAACATAATTTGACCTAGACATCAGTCTAGGAATCATTACCTCTGGTTAACCACAAACATTTGGGAAGTGTCCAAACTACCCTTTACACTCACATTAAGTCCCTGGAGTAAATTGGCAGTAAAAAACTCTAGTGAAGCCAAGTCCTGAGACATACATTTTGGCTGTGGAGGGTAGCATTGTGCAAGCACAAGTGTTTATCAAACATTGATCAGAAGTTCATTGGCCAAACAGACACTTTGAATTCTGGCAAGAAGCAGCACTGTATGTGGTAAACCATGTTTTGAAGGCTAGAGAGAGAAAAATTGTCATCATGGAGGCCTCTTGGGTAACTTATCCTGGGGTTTTGAGTGGAGTTAGCCACTCTTCCACTTAAGATAGGACCAACCAACTTCCACCCAAGAATCTTACTGCTAAGATAAACCAAACATATTACACAATGGGGGAACATATGGAGCAGCTGTCATTGTTGTAGAAGCGTGTGGGGTGCGGCTGCAGAGAACGAAGGTCACCCTCTATTTCTGGAAGTTGGTTCAAAGGGCAGAACTGGACAGGCAGGCAGGCTGCATCTTACTGCAGGCGAACATTGCATTACCTAATGTTTAAACAGTTTAGTTGTTAAATAGCAATCCTTGCCTTATGAGGAACACCAGCAGGTAGAGTTGTCCCGTCCTGACGAATCACCCACAGGCAGAGGTTGAGGGAGGGAGGATTAAAACTGAGATATTCTGTTCATGGAGTTTTCCCCCAGAATGTTCATTGGGGCATGTGTTTTGCACCCCCCAGAACCTGCAGATCCTGAGAGATGTGCTGAGGCACAGAACCTTCCATGCAGCACTGAAGCTAAGGCTTCCCCCAGCTCCTTCCCCTTAAGGAGGGCTCCCCAGAGCAAAGTGGCTCCATGCAAAATTCAGTGCAGATTCAAGTGTGCCCTGGCCCTACTCCCATCCCTCCCACGCACAGATTCTTTGGCTCAAAGTCCTTCTCTAACTTTTTCTTCTTAGATGCCCAGATTCTGAAGCCCTACCTCAGATTTTACTCAGTCCTTACTCTGGCATAACCCCATTGGCTTCTGTGAGCAACAACTGAGTAAGAATTTCTTCATTTAGTGCAACAGAAAATGCCCCCCCAGGGGCCGCAGCGCTTCCTGGAGCGGCACGGTGCCGGGGACAGGGCAGGCATGCAGGGAGCCTGCCCTGGCCCCAGTACGCGCCGCTGCCACCCCGGAGCCCGAACCCCTCCTGCACCCTGCCCCCCAACTCCCAGCCCTGAGCCCCCTTGTACACCCCGCACCCCTCCTGCACCCCGCACCCCTCCTCTGCCCAGGTGTGAAAGTAAGTTAGGCGGGGCCTCGGGCAGAAGGGGCGGGGTGGGGCTGGGGGTCAGCATCCCCCAACCAGCCCTTTCAGGCCTCCTGGCCCACGCCACCCAGGGCTCCCGTGTTGATTTAAAAGACCCAGGGTTCCAGACGCCGCTGCTGCACCCCAGGCCCTTTTAAAATCGCCGGCCCCAGGGCAACTGCTCCCTTTGCCCCCCCCCCGCCCATCAGAGGCTGTGGGCGGGGGGGGGCAATGGGGCAGGGACATTAAAGCGCTGCAGGGCCCTTTGCAGTGGCACTGCTTTAACGTTGCTGCGCCCCCGCAGGAATGTTAAAGCACTGCCGCAGGAACATTAATGTCCCTGCCCCTTTTGCCTCCCCTGTCGGCGGCCCTGCCGGTACAGACCCTACCAGCAGGGCCACCAACGGGGGGAAGGGGTAGCGATGTTAAAGCATTTTAACGTTAATGCGGGTATCCATAGCAGTGCCGCTGTAACTGTGGATGCTCTCATTATTATGGAGGTTCTGGTCATGGCTCCATAGTTAAGGTGATGTTGGAATTTGTACTGAAAGCAGGACTAAACCCCCTTTGTTACATAGTTTAAATAGTTATTTTGCACTAAACTTGGCTCAGTTTCTCTTCATAGGCTAATTGAAATTTCTACATCATTTCCTTGACGACAGATATTTTCAGGTTTATTTTGAAAGGCTTTATAGCTAAAAATATTAGCAAGGTATTTTTTTTTTCAAAGTTCGCATACTGTATCTGTGGAGATCATAGAATCATAGAATCATAGAATATCAGGGTTGGAAGGGACCTCAGGAGGTCATCTAGTCCAACTCCCTGCTCAAAGCAGGACCAATTCCCAACTAAATCATCCCAGCCAGGGCTTTGTCAAGCCGGGCCTTAAAAACCTCCAAGGAAGGAGACTCCACCACCTCCCTAGGTAACGCATTCCAGTGCTTCACCACCCTCCTAGTGAAATAGTGTTTCCTAATATCCAACCTAGACCTCCCCCACTGCAACTTGAGACCATTGCTCCTTGTTCTGTCATCTGCCACCACTGAGAACAGCCGAGCTCCATCCTCTTTGGAACCCCCCCTCAGGTAGTTGAAAGCAGCTATCAAATCCCCCCTCATTCTTCTCTTCTGCAGACTAAACAATCCCAGTTCCCTCAGCCTCTCCTCATAAGTCATGTGCTCCAGACCCCTAATCATTTTTGTTGCCCTCCGCTGGACTCGTTCCAATTTTTCCACATCCTTCTTGTAGTGTGGGGCCCAAAACTGGACACAGTACTCCAGATGAGGCCTTACCAATGTCGAATAGAGGGGAACAATCACGTCCCTCGATCTGCTGGCAATGCCCCTACTTATACAGCCCAAAATGCCGTTAGCCTTCTTGGCAACAAGGGCGCACTGTTGACTCATATCCAGCTTCTCGTCCACTGTGACCCCTAGGTCCTTTTCTGCAGAACTGGTGCCTAGCCATTCGGTCCCTAGTCTGTAGCAGTGCATGGGATTCTTCCGTCCTAAGTGCAGGACTCTGCACTTGTCCTTGTTGAACCTCATCAGGGTTTTTTTGGCCCAATCCTCTAATTTGTCTGGGTCCCTCTGTATCCGATCCCTACCCTCTAG